CCGCTGCAGCCAGCCCGCCGCCACCCGGCCCAGGACGCGCGCCTTCCCGGCCCCGCCCCTTCCCGGCCCCGCCCTGATCCTTTGGGCGGCGCCATTTTTGCCACGGCCCTCTGGAGGATTCTCTTTTCCGGCAGGGGGTCCCGCACAAGAAGCCTTTTTGTGATCTGGGATCTGTCCTGGCCGAGGCGAAAAAGGTGGACGAAGTGAAAACAGCCTCCAAACGCTCCTAAATCTGTTTCTTCCTAGTTACTCTCTAAGTCCCCGCTTCTCATTACTTACTTATTATCAAATCTAGGGTATAAGGTGCCAATGGGTGCACTAGCAGTCGTGGCACTGGAGGGGAGGCTGGCCGTTTGAGGGCTTTTGGGGGTGGTGAACTGACAGATTGGGGACAGAAGGGAGCAACATTTAGTAGTTGTACCCTGGGGGGCACAAGGGACAGAGGAAAGCCCCGTGATTCTTCCCAGCAGGCAGGACTGTGCAGGCCTCCTGGAGGGAGGGCCTGCCCCAGGGGAGGGGAGGGGAGGGGAGGGGAGCGGAGCCCAGGGAAGCCATCAGCAGCACACGTTTACTGAGCACCTACTGTGTGCCGGCACTGTTCTGTCGTGAACAAAAGCAGACAGAAACCCCCCTCGGAGGGTACTGCATCTCAGTGGGCGGATGGCAACAATCCACGCGCAAAGACGCACGCAGCGACGTTAGGGGTGCTTTGGAGAAAAGCAAAGGCGGGGCAGGGTCAGCTGATAGGACCGTGGAGGCAGCCACAGATCTGACAGCCTCAGAGGCGCTTCCCTGGAGTTGAGGGTCAACAGAGGCCCCAGGCAGCAGAGGGCCACGGTTCTGCACCTGAAAACAGCGTGGCGTGACCGGAGGACGCTGGGCCGGCAGGTGGAGGGCAGGGCAAAGGGCAGCCTGGGGTTGGGGAGATGGGAGTGGAAGGGCTCCTGAAGGGATGGGGCTTGGGCCCTGGCAGCCTGCCTACGGGCAGTAGCGACTGGGGCAAACTCCCAGGGTCCTGGCTCCAGGAACTAGGTGGATGCGGGAGACTGCAAACGCCTGCAAACACCCGTGGACAGCCCACAGCGGCCCCACAGAGGCCAGGGGAAGGAGTCCTGTGTCCCGGCGTCTCCTCCTGGTTGTCTGTCTGTGTCAGTTTTCCAGGAACATGGCTGGGCCATCTCATCTGCGCATGCCCAGAGCTGGGGCACAGAAGGTTGGAGACCAAGCTTCTCTCACAGGGGTTTTCTTTCATTCAAGAAATTTGGATGGAGCACCCTCTGTTCTAGGGGACACAGATTCCTGTGGGCACGGGGTCTGAATCTAATAGGTGAGTGGGCAGCCTTTGATCCCACATGGGCCCTGTTGTAAGAGGGGGATGGAATCTGGGGGGAGGGAGGGTGGTCCAGGATGTTTCCTGGAGAATGAGATGAGGTGAGAGCTGAAGGATGACGGGGAGGAGGCAACTCAGGGAGGATTCAGAGCAGAGGGGCGGTGACTATGATATGAGATCAGGGACCACGCCGGGCAAGTGCAAACTGAGTCAGGGGAGTGACGGGGAGGAAAGACTGGAAAACTGCAGAGAACAGGTCAGCGGCTGGGGTGCAAGAGGGCCCTTAGGGGTGACAGAAACACTCGATTGCAGTGGCAGTAACACTTTAAATGTCAACATTCACAGAACTGCACACCAAAAAGGGTGAATGTCACTGTAAGTTACACCCAATAAGCCTTACTTTAAAATAAATGCCTTCATAAGAATAAAGACCTATATATATTTTTACTTATTTTTTATTTATTGATTTTAGAGAGGGAGAGAAACATCAATTTGTTGTTCCACCTTCATCGGTTGCCTCTTGTATGTGCCCTGACCAGGGATTGAACCTGCAACCCTGGCATGTCGGGACAACGCTCTAACCAACTGAGCTACCTGGCCAGGGCCTGCACTTTTAAATACAGAGGTCGGCAGCAGCCAGAGCACACATCACACATGGTAAGGGTTTTGGTCTTTGAAGCGGCCACTGCTGGCTGCAGAGGATGGGCTTGGAGCAATTGTGTGGGGCCCTCAGGGGGCACCTCTAACAGGCTGGTTCCCCTTCCTCCATGTCAACAGCACAGAAGGCGACAGCTGCAGCCTCCCAAAGGGCCTGCAAGTTAGAGGACTCAGCATTCCTCCAGGAGGGAAAGGACAAGGGACCCCCGGTGGGAGGGGTCTGTCTCCTGGGGAGTGACAGGGTGTCTTGCCTTTAGGATTGACCTTGAACGGGGCATAGGGCAGCCTTTCCAGAGCTGGGGTTGGGCCCGAGGGAGTGGGTGGGGGGAGGGGAAGGCCTGCTCACCCACTGAGGACAGCAACTCTAAAAACTCCCTCGGGGCCAGCAGCGCAGTGATGGGCACAGTGGGATA